ACAAAAATAAATCTCACATAAATTCATACCCACAGAGAGTCAATTCTAAAATATGTGAGTATATAATTTACTATTCAAACACACTTATTCACATCTGTATTATTATCCGAGTTCAATTTTAACTGAAATATACCAAACACAAAAATAAAAATATATCCAGATTGGAACGGAACGTACAGGGAAGTATTTCATAATGTATTTAACTGTTTAAATCACCGTCAGGACAGAAAAGACTAGAAAAAAAAGTACTAAATAGAACTTAAGTAAACAAATGATAAATGAAAACGATTATTTTCTAATAATGTCAACGACCTGTTGATGAGCATAAAAAAGATTTAGCATAGAAATTGGCTTAATAAAAAAAAAAGTAAATCATCCCGTGATATCTGACAGTTGCTCATGTGATAGAAAATTAATTAGATTTCGATGAAAAAAACTAAAAACTAAAATGCTACAAATAGAGAAAAATAGAGGAATTTGTGTCATGTTTAAAAGAAAAAAAAATCACGCAACAAAAAAAAGACTATTTGATAATGGAAGAGAAATTTCTATCTAACTTTTTATATTATGAATTCGTAAAATTAATCAAAAAAATATATTATGATAATAAAAAATAATAGCAGCCTTTCACTGGAAGAGAGTATATTAAAAAAACTTGAAATAATTAGAAAACAACGCATTTGTTTTTGTTCTATTTGTAGACAAAAAGTTAATACAGCATTACAGTTCATTCAATTGTTGTGATGTTATCTCTCAAATACAGAGTTACATTTTTTCTGAAGATTCACAATATTAACTACAACAGCTTCGTTTTTTGTAATGAGAAACATTTCGTAAACAAATAGTAAAAAAATATGTTATTAGATATATTGGCGAATAAAGAAACGAAAATAAGACAGCTATTTATTCTTCATACAACACATTCAAGAACTAATAGTAAAAAACACTTTTTGCTTTACTCATTCAATTTTACGAAGGTAAATGCAGATCTTCTTTTACTTATCATATTCTCTTACTATCTCTTGATCTAAGATCAAAAAAACCAAAGGCAACAATTTCATTCACAAATTTGTTAAAACAATAAACAAATCAAAAACTAGAGATTTCCTACATTGTAGGTACATAATATATCAAACGAAACTATCATATATAGAGATGGAAGACAAAAAAAACTCATGAACTCTCATTCAATGACATCATCGTAGCAAAACATTTAAAAAGCATACATAAACAAACAAACAAACAAAAGAAAAAATATAATAATATATACAATTCATTCTTTATTTGCTTACCATACTCTTCAGATTTTTCTAATAGAAAACAAAGGTGTGTGTGTGTGTGTGTAAATGGAAAAAAAGTTTCTCCTTCTCGTTTGTTCCACTACTCATTCTTCATCTTCTTCTATGTTCACGACTATATTTTGCGTCGTAGTCTTCTCGACGATATTCTCGATCTCTTGGACTACGTGTTCGACGATGTTTTTTTCTAGATGATTCTCGTGATGAATCGTGTGAGCGACTTCTATGTCGAATTCTATAGAAAATAAACAATTGAAGGTGAATAACAGTAGGTTCTGCTGAAGTCATTCAATTCACTCACCTTTGCCCATATGACTTATCTTCAATTCCTTTTAATGTATCCTGTAATGAACTAATTAAAATTTTGCAACGATCATCATTAGCAATTTTTGATTGTTTTATTAACGATACAGCTGTCACCAATGTTTCTATTGCTGTACCGAATTCACCTTAATAAAAATAAAAAATTTATTAAAAGATTCATACTATCTTTTAACATCCTATTTTATATGAATAGTATGAAACTACAAAGTTCTCACCAGCCGATGCATCTTGAACAGCTCGAGCAATTGCACTACTTGACACGGTTTTGTTTCGTTCCATTATTTCTTGAAATTCTGTTTCACTAATACTAATACCTGCCATATTTGGATCATGACGTTCACCCCCGACGGCTACAGAACGATAGTACGAATCATGTACATGATTTTGACTTGGATGAGATAGTGAATGATGTAATGGCTAGAATAAAAAGAAAAAATAGTCTAATCACTAAGATAAAAGTGTTGGCAGAAGAACTTACCGCTGTCACAGCTGGATTTTGACCAGGATAATAGCCTTGTGGATGGTGAGGTAAGGCTGTCATTGAATTTGATGGAATAGATACACCTGAAAAAAGTGTGACTTTTTATAGGTAAACTGTAAAAGAAATCAAACTTATCTCATGTTTACCTTGCGGTGGTCTGCCATCCCATTCTCGTTGAGTTCGTTCAGGTTGTTGTGGCATAGGTATACCTTGAGGACGATGATTAGCTGTTAACTGGGCCATCGAGAGTCCATTTGTTCCTGGTTGTTGAGTCGGTAATCCTGACTGTTGCATGATAACTACCTGTTGATGACCTGAAGGAGGCGCACCACCCTGTTGTAAATTTTGGATAGGGATGCCTGGTCTTCCAACAAGAATTTGTTGTGGTGGACGTACTTGAGGAGGAATTTGCATTGGTGGTCTTAGACCGGGTTGACTGCCTGCCATGGGTAGTCCCTGTGGGTGAAAACGATATGGTTCACCCATGGGTCTCGGCATTGGTAATGGTAAACCATGTATTGGTGGACGCATCATGGGTGATCTAACTAAAAACTCTAGAAGAATAAAACATAATTAAACTAATTTATAGATGAGAAAAAAAATAAGAATAACTAACACACACAAGTTTAGCGCAAGGACTTGAGTCTTTTGATACAGGTCTATAGACTAATGTTAAAAAGATAAATACTAAACGACTAATATTAAAAATCAATTAAATATTTTTCCGCCTTATTTAAATATTAGTCCGTTCAATATTTTTTTTTTATTTAAATATTTTTCCTTCAATATTCTTCCTTCCAATATTCTTCCTTTATTTTAAAATAGTTAAACATTTTTCCATCTGACGAAAAACTGCTTTAATATTAACATCAACGTCAACTTTATATTTATTTTATTTTAAAAAATAGTTAAATATTTTTCTATCTTATAACAAGAAAACATATTTATTAGTTCAGAGAGAAAAATATTTAATTGATTTTTAATATTAATTGATTAACATTTTTCAGTATACCGTTTGAAACACCTTGTTTCTTCATATTCTCTGCACAGAAACTAGATATACCACAAGAAACCGCAGCAGATCATTCTTCTTAACAACTGAACACAATTGAATTAATATTCGATCCTGAATCAGCTTCATTCTATTTTATATAATACGGTGTTCAGAAAAAATTGCAAAACTTTGTAATTTGTAATTTTTTTACAGCAAAGGTGCGGAAAATTTTTGTTGAACACCAAAACTACTCAATTACTCGACCAAAAATTTCCTCTCCTCTCGGTAAAGACTCACAAAAACAGCAACACAATTCGACTCAAATGCACTTTTCTTTCATTTCATACAAATGGTAGGGCTAACTTATATCAATGCTAGGCTACGGTGCTGTAAACTGATTTTATGTTCTATAATTTGGGAGGCTAACAAAAACCCGACAGAAAAATAATAATAAAGAAATATTCTCTAGTAAGTGGAAGATATAAAGCTATAAGATCTAAGAGATCCTTTCATGGATCAATAAAACTTACGAGGTGGATTCATTGAAGGTGGTGCTTCAGCTGGTTGATCTTTAGAATTTTGCCCTTCAAAAAAACTTAATGATTGTTTATTGCATGGTAATACTGTTGGATTTTGACCATGTATATCTTTTTTCGGTAATTTTTCTCCAATAATTCGAGATGAGCTCTCAGAGCCAACTGTTACCACTGCAAAACTATAAAAAGAAAAAGCATAACATATAATAGATAGCTACTTTTAAAGTCTAATTACCCTTTGGATTGGCCATTAACACGATTTTCGTGAAACTTAATTTCAAGTAAATCATTAATTCCGAGTGATTGAATTATATCGCTTAAACCTTGATCTGTTGTCCACTAGAAATATATGTTCCGTTGAGAGTGATTGTAGAGCTTCAACATATTTTTCTGCTTACCCAAGTGAGTTGACCAACGTATAATGAAATTCGTTTTCCGCTGTAACCACTTTGCACACCGGCTGCCGTATCATTTGATATTTTATTGATACGATTTGGTGTATTTGTTATATCGTTAAAATCCGTGCCCGATGGTTGTGCTGTGATAACTGCATCATATAAATCCCCATCTTGCTGTTGATCTTCATGTCCATACTCTTCGCCTGGTTCCTTAAAAAACAAACATACAAATGCTTTAAGACTTGAAAATGATAGCAAACAGAAACAGAGACAAGTGCTCAAGGGATATATTAGAAGGCCGCTGACGGCCTAGTGCAAACCAGAAGGCCACCATTATTAGAAGACCGGTCAAACAGCTGCGATTCGTCAGGACATTTTATTCGGAGGCGGAACTTACGTGCATAGCGATGCATCAAGTTAGACGCCAGTTCAATAACACAACTTTCAAGCTACGATACTTCTACAGATCGACCACCACTCTACCACTACCATCACTCACCCTCGCCGCCGCTCACTTTTACCACTAGGGAGGTGGTCGATCTGTAGAAGAACCCAAGCTACTCCTAATTACTGAGAATTTGAACTTTCATTAAAAAAATTCTATTAATCGCGTGACGTAGATAATACATACTTGTTCTAGATCGTTTTCTACAACATCAGCATATAAATCAATTTCAGTATCATTTGCAGTCATATCACCTTCCATTCCTTTCATAGAATGACAAACTACCGTTTATAGCGATTAATCTGCTATTTTAATCTGAGCAACTAGAAAATAAAAAACTTTAGAAGCACAAATAATCATCTATAGTCAACATAATGACCGCAGTATCTCTGTATGTCGCCATCTTTTCGAGTACCACTGATTTTAACACTATTGCCTTTCCATAGTCAATTTGAAAGTGTAAGACTAATGTCAGAGTAAAAAAGCGCCGAGACTAATTTAACATACACTAATTAAGTGAAAAAACTCAAAAAAGAATAGGATTAGGCTATCAAAAATCTTTTTGTAGTAAAGTAGATGACACCTCTACAATGTGTCGCTAGTTATCAAGAGAACGGCCGATCCGAAGCAGATAGAAAATTAATTAGTTTTAGCCCATGTACTAAAAATCACATAAAAATCGGCAATTAATCATGCGCTTAATCGCGATTAATTGCCGATGTTTTGGTGATTTTTAGGCGATTTTAGCGATTAATCGCAATTAATTGACGATTTTTTTCTAGGTACTAGGTTCGAACCCATCTTAGGAAATACATATTTTTTTCTGTTTTTTCATTGTTTATTACGTATAATGACATGTGCGTCACACAGCAATGGTCTTAGCACCAGCTGGCGTCGGAGTCTTGCCGACGAGTCTGTTTTAAACATTGCCCACATACCAGCTGTTCAGTGGGCTTCTCGGTTTAAAGCTCTGAGGAACAATAGAGAAGACTCTTAATAACTCCGTTGTATTCTAAAATAAAAAGATGATCTGAATATAAGTGTATTTTTCGCTGAAATCGTTTTCTTATATACAAACTTTATTGCAAAAGAAAACGGTGAATAACAACAACCATTTAATCACTTAAAATCAACAATTAATCGCAATTAATTGATGATTTTCGTGATTAATCGCGATGGTTGACAAAGTCATCGATTAATCACGATGCACGAAAAAAGTATCACTTAATCGCGATTAAATGACCATTTTTTCCCGAATCGCGATTGAGCGTCGATTTTTTCAACCATCGCGATTAATCGACAAAAATGAAGCGATTTTCAGCACATGGATCATATCATCGGAACAAAAAAAATAAAGTGGATTTTGAGTTGGTGAAAAGTGCTTTTTCGTATTCAGCACACTCGATAACCCAGAAGATTTTGCTATTTTTGGGGAGGGGTACTTCCAAAAGTTTAGAGAAAGTTTGAAACAAAATGGCACAAAAAGATTTCCATGGGAAATAATATTAGTTTGAAACGTTTTCCTGAACTTTTGGAAGTACTTCTCGCCAAAAATAGAAAATCTTCCGGGTTATTGAGTATGCTGAATCCGAAAAAGCACTTTTTAGTAACTCAAAATCAACTTTATTTTTTTTCCGATGATATGCCGTCACAGAATGATCTCTCTAATCGTGTGATATCAGTTTAATTATGTGAATTCATAACCTTACTTTTTGTGTTAAACTCCTTGTGCTTTCTGGAAATTTCGAGCTTTAATAAACTTTGAATCGAGCAGTAAACGAAACATACAACAATTACCAAAGAAAAATTATCAGACTTTTATTGCATCTTAAACGAATATTGATTTAAATATTTCAGAGAAAGATGATCCTTTAACAAAATTTTTAATCTATATTTACTCTGATGTCATTTGCTAAGGGCTTGTCCTTATCAGTTTGAGTGTTGAATATAGCAGTAAGTGACATTTCCTTTCACTCATCTTATTTCTAAAACCTGTCGGATATGTCTAGATTTATTAAGCAAGAAATTTAAGAAATTTCTTTCAAAATTCTGTCACATACTGATGTAAAACTATCATGACTAATTTGATCTTTAGTTTATAATATTTTTCTATATACCTTCATATGTTCACATATGACATGCCATTACTTTTCTAGTATAGTTAAACAACTCGTTTTTTGTCTCATCGTATACTATTGTCTATATTTTATCTCATCTTTTTTCACGTACGCGCATATATGTAGATACAGTAATAAGTTTAATTATTAAAGGTCATTCATTATTGTACACTTAAGGCTCTTATCTCTCTACGTGATTCAATGAAACACATTGTGTATATAGCTAACGATACATCCTCTATTCATTGTTCGGATATCTTCATTTTCAAAACAACTCATTTCACAATTCCAATATCATAGATGGAAAATATTCGAAAAACAATGCTAAGTATGTAGAAAACACCAAAAGCATTGCAGTCAAAAGTTTAATAGTATCATTATATCTTTTATATTGAATATGCATGAAATGAGTAATGAGAAAACAAATTTGAAGAAAAACTATTTATTTTAACGAAAGACATATTTTTCTATCTTGTTGTTCATACGGAATAACTTTTCTTTTTAACACACATAACTTCAACTCTTGAAAATATATCTGTCGTATGACATGTATTGATTATTCATTTCAACTTCATTTGAAAAACTTGACAAAATGAAATAATCGTGCTAGAAAATGGCAGATTAGAAGTTAATTTAATGTAGAATTTGTAGACTAATCTAGAAGAATTTTCTTTTGTTTGGGTTATTTCCTTATTTTAGTCATTTATCATAATTTTTACAACACCAATGAAAGTGTATAGATAGCAATTAATAAAACTTCAATCGTTACGTGGCATGTTTTCTCTCTTTTGATAAATTTGAATTTTTTTAACTCTCAATGTCGTGTTTCAAACATTTCGTGCTATCTAATGTATTTTCTGTTATTATAATTACCTATTTTTTTCTTCTTTGTTTTTATTTCGTGCTTTTATTTGTACAAAAAAAAAATTGTTGGTTGTATATCACACACATCTTTTTTTTTCTAGACTGTTTATGTGTAAGATATTAAAATAAAAAGGGTTTGTCTACCGCTACTTTCTTTTTTCTTCTTGTTCAAGATGCAATTGCTTGCATGTCAATGGGATACATCATGAAATAGAACTTAACTTTTAGAAAAAAAACTGAAATTTACTTTTTGATAAATTACTTTGGATACCTTTCGAATCTTTTAATGTGTTCAATGTTCATTTATGTTGAAACAGTAAGCAGTAACAACAGCAAGTAACAAAAAAGAGAATAATAACAATTTATTATATTGCAATGTTAGCGTGACTATAACATTAATTGATTTTCTGCATGTTAAACCGATAATATATGCATGAAACAATGGTACTCTTGAAATCATAATGTCAAAGTATTTAAAAAAGCTTTTTTAAAAATATATTCTTCATCTTTAACCAAGTGAGATGCAATTGAAAATTTGTGTGATAGTGCTGAGCAATAATCATACAATATTTTAATGGATTAGTATAGAAAGAATAGAATTTTTATTTCTAAAATAATAGATAAATGAACAAAAACTATCATTTATCGACCTAAACTGATTAGACATTACATTAAAGTCGGAGAAAACATTGTTTTTCGCATAATTTTACAAAGCATTGAAATTATGTTGAATGAAATGAACAGTACATTTCTTTTTAAAATATTCGTTTGCTAAGTTAAAACGAATTACATCTCGATCGATCCTTCGAATATTATCTCTCTTTTAAATGGTGATGTGTCTATTCTTGTTTAGCAACCGTCTATAATATACTTTACTCTTCAGAAATAGATGAAGATGATGAGGGATGAATATTGAAATACTGGAATCTGAATGTTCAATTATTTATGTTTATTTCTTTTTTACTAATACCATCAACCATCATCATCAGAAGTAAATAAAATTTCTTTATAAATATTATTTTTATTTGCAAACAAAATGTCGTTAACGTAAGACGCTAGAAGACGTGACTCGTTTCCTAAATATTGGTGTTTCAATGTAATTAAGATGATATTTACTATGCAAGACAGATGATCATCACATATTTTGTTGTCCGAAGAAGAAGAAGAAGAAGAAAAAAAAAAGGAAAATATTATGTTTTATATTTCTTAATCAAATATATATAGCTGCTGATTTTTTTCTAATGATACTAAACATAAATGAGTGTGAAACATGATTTGAATATAGTGGAAACAACAAGAAACTTGAAAATCAAATCTAACGAGATGCCTGTCTAATGTCAACTTAGCGTGTTCAATATCAATAGATATATATATATATGTAGAATTCATGCCTAAATATATTTTATTTGATATCCATTAGTGAGAAAAAGAGAGAGAATATATGTACGTGTCACTTGTCTTATTACATCTTGGGACATACACGCACACACACACACACACCAAACATTCTTAGATTTGGACACGTTTATTGCATGATCATACAAGAAAGAACAACATCGACGAATTTTTTGTTGTTTTTGTCAATCAAATTATATTATATGATATACATGGTGAGCGAAAAACTCGGAAGGTTTAATGTAAAATTATACTTTTAGTCAAAAACAGAAAAAAATGTTCATTGGATCTATGATCGTATTCTAGAAAAGTATCAAATCTGAAGGCGATCATAGTAACTGTTAAGCACTTGTTTTTAATTTCTCTTCTAAGGCTAAATTCTCATTTAAATCTTCTGAATTCCTGCAAAAAATTTTGTTCTTTCCAAAAATATTCTACTTGAACTATTTTCGACATTTAAACGCACGATAGCGCAGATAGTTATATATTCAAAAAAAGAAGAAAAGAATAAACCCTCACGACTGTCTATTTCTGCACGATATTCGAATTAAATATATAGTTGAATGAATAAATAAAAATAAATAACTAATTGTACGTGAATATTCGGTTGTTTTAGAATTAAATTTTTTCAATCATATTTTTTCTTCGTTTTTTTCTTCTTCTTCTAATAACCATCTTCCAGTATATTCAAAGCACGTACGCGTATGTGTATCAAACAAGAATAAGAGAAAGAGAAGAAAAAAAAACTATTTGTGTGTATTATATCGTATGCATATATCATAAAAAATCGAATTTTATTTCATCACGAAACGTTATAAATGACACGTACACGGATATATATGTATATGTCCAACGGGCAAGATTCTATACACGACAAAAAAGAAGAATGTATGAAAGGAAGAGAGAAGAAAAAAATTAAATTTTTCCTAAAAAAATATATATTCCAAAAGAACTTTTAATAGTAAGCAGTAAGAAAATAGTCTCATGAATGAGGACAAATAATAAGAAAGAATCTACTTCTTTTTTGTCTTGTACAATATTTTTCAATATATTTAAATATTTAACATTTTGGCACACGACATTATAGTATATTTTTAAGACCATTTATTAAACTATTTCCATTCTCAAATACATCTTACATATTCATCGATAAGTTTGATAAAACATATGGTGTAAATCAAACAGAGTTTCTCTCTCAAAATCGATATCAGATAATTCTTTCACCAAGTAAGTATGATTTATTAACTTATAATAATCATTTCTGAATGCGTTTAATGCAACTCAAGAAGGATATTTTTGTTGGACGTAGTACATTTTCACTGATGAAGGGAGTTCTTCAAATATTGTTTGATAATAATAATTAGAGCTTACAAGTTATTCATGGTGCGGGGTTCAATAGATCTCCGTCGGACTTGTCAGAATCGAGATCTCTAGGACTCTGGACTACGCTGTCTATGTGATGGCGGAGCGACCGTTGGCGTGAGGAGTGGATACACCTCCCCTGCTTTCAGAAATTTCCTTGCAAATTTGCTCCGATTTGAGCCAAAAATACGGAAAACTCACTCCGATTTTATGAAAGAATGGACCGAGTTTACTCCGATTTTGCCAAAGTTTTGTTTGAAATTTTTACGGTTTTTGCGCAGATATTTGCTGTTTTCTCCAATTTTCGGCCATCTTTGCTACAAAAATATTAGTTAGTTAGTCCTCATTAGTTGATAGCCTTGGACTTGAGTGTTTTTTATCGAGTCCAGTTGGAGTCCAGTTAGTATCTATCATAATCAAGAATAAAATTAGTGTAATCTTAAACGTAACTGATTCGCTTTTTTCGTCAAATATATATCTAATATGGAATAGTGACTAAACTTTTTTATGTAGTCGTATATGATTATGAGATTTATTCACTTGATTAATTGAGAAGACGCGAAAAAAATTAGTGTAGTGGTTTTGTTTTCTGCTATAAACTTGACTGGACTAAATAGACACAACAGGCTAATGAATAACAATGGATAGATATAACAAAATACACATTTAAATTATACGGTTATCAGACAGTAATACTGTATTATTTGACACTTAAGAAATTCATTCTCCGTACGAAAAGTTAGATACTTCTTGACAGAATATGTTAATTTAAGTAATTTATCAGGCAAATATGTTTTGTGAAGGATATGAAGGAACAGTGAAAAAATGTTGTTTTCTTTCTGTGTCTGCAAAGTGTGGGGATAACGGATTATACAACTGTAAATCCGAAATGAAAAAATGTCAAATTTTGTATTATTTCTTTTACTTTATCAAACTTGCCAGAAAATCTTTTTGAACTTACTCCGGTTTTTGAAACTACCGCCCCCTGCTTCAACTTCTTCGCGCTGCCACTGTGTTTATGAAAAAACTACATATTGTGAGTGCCCATTCGTAGGAAATGTCAAGGTTTATATTAATGAATGAATTGAAATTCATTTTTCTGAACAGAAATTTTAGACCACTGTGAAAACTTTCGGTAAAAACTTCTTCACTCAGGAGCCTTAATCAAATCGTTACTAGAGTGTTGTGATACGATTTTGATATTCTCTCAACCTCAACAGATCTATACACTCCTTTTATAAGAAATTTCATCATGCAATATTTGCATTCTTCCACTTAGATTTGTTCATTTTAAAAGTTTGTATCAATAATGTACCGATTTAGCCGTCAACATTGTTATTTATGCGATTGTCCAAGGACACCCTGGGCCATGCTGTATGATTTTTCTGAACCAATTTGTCGAGGATGTTGTAATTATGAAGGTACTGAAAACACTAAAAGCTAATTTTATAAAATTAATCGATATTTTTTCTTATATAGGTGCAGAACGAGTCGAAATAGTCATCGATAATGCTCGTGCATTACGTCGAAGTTCACTTATGGAAAAACAAACGAACCACATACCATTATCAACATCATCCACTTTGACTTCGACAAAAGTAATTAATAATGGTGTCCATCATCCAATATCAATATATCAAAATCAAATTCGTAATTTAGCAACACAATCAAATGGACACCGTTTTCTAACTGAAACAAATTCTCGTCCAAATCTTGTATTACCGTCACCACATCGTCATATTTCGAAAAATTCTCGTCTAGATGATGGATTACATTGTGCAAATATTTCACATAATCTCCAACAAAATCAGAGTCCATCTCCACCCCATTCTGAATTGTCGACAACCGATTCCATTATGCCAGATGATTTATCAATGCCTGAATTAGTCAAGGATATTCTACGTATATTATCATCAACAATACCATTTGACATACGTTTAAAAACAGACACATCAATTATTGCTCGTGTATTCTTTTTCGGTTCTCATTTACGTTCACCTAATGAATATGAACTTCGTACATATGTTGAATATCCTTATACTATTCACGGTTCAAGCAATATTTATACAAATTTAACAACATTATTGAAACAAATGAACTCTAATCCCAGCAAAGAAAAAGCGAGACTATCACCATCAGTGACCTCATCACCGCCATTATCAGCAACAACCACAAGAACTTCTACTAGCCATAGTCCGACACGTACGGTCCCAAATCCTTATCGTACTCTTGAATATAAAACAAAAGATCACAATTGGCATTTGCTAGGTGAATTACTTTCAGAACGTGTTCGTACATTTCGTGAACTACCCAATAACGATTTACTTCCTCAACTATACCTTGATCCAAAATATTCAAAATTACCGGTTATTAATGCAACAGCACGTTTAACTAAACGAAAACATTTATCATCACTCGATTTTGATATTGGATGTATTCATCCAAATAGAACATTAGCTGGACTTAACTGTTTTGGACTAAAGAAAACGAATGGTTTTCGTTTACCATTGAAACGCACTCGATGTGGATCTGACACAGGAACAACAAAAACAAAAGAGCAGAAACAGCAAACTGAGTCAACAGATACAATAAATGAAGCTACAGGAGTCGAACCAACAGTGTCAACATTACGTGAAACTTTAAAATGTTCTCAATGTTTACAACCATTAGAAGATACTCATTTTGTTCAATGTCCATCATCAACAGCTCATCGTTACTGTTTTCCTTGTTGTGGTGATTTTATAAAAAAACAACCACTATCATCAAATCAAGAAATATATTGTCCTAGTGGAGATAAATGTCCGTCACTTGGTTCTCAGATACCATGGGCTTTTATGAAATCAGAAATAGCAACAATTCTTGCTTCGATAAAAACAACAGTCAAACAAGAAGTCGAAATGTAAAAACTATCGTAAATATATGTGACCAAGTTATTCTATCATTATCAGTACGCGTTCGTTTTTATTATAGTATAAACAAAAGAAATATATACATCTGCCAATCGACTACAAACAACATTTCCGATTAGAATGGAAAGTTTTTCAACTTAACATTTTTTTATAGATTTTCTGCCAAGTTTTTTGTATTCTTTCGTCCGGCTACTGTCTGTTGCAAAGTTTTTTTGCTGTTTGACCATCTATCAACATTTAAATCTCCATATTCTAATCGAAAACAATCGAGAACCATGACTGAGTGCAAAAATAGTTACATTCAATTTCATCGTGTTTTGAATATAAATGGATAACAAAGAGGCTTGTTGCACTTCTGTAGTCAGTTGAGAAGAAAAAGTTGGCTGGATTAAATAAATATCTAAACCTTAAAATTAGATAATTACAGCAACAACGATAATAGTTTTTCGAGATTATCTCAGAACAAAATAAATACAGACTCATATTTACTTTATTTATTAAAAAGTTTCAATAAAAAAAAGTCTGTAAAAAGTTAATTACAAAAAAATAAATAATTTACACATTGCACACATTACAAGTGGTCACAAAAAGATGATACGGAATGATAAAAATAATATAATCGTTAAGAGTTTGTTGATGAGCACCTTCTTACACATTTTGTATGGATATATTACACAATGCCCTAAAGATTTGATGTTATGTTTGCGAATAAACTTTTAACGTTGATTAATGCATCTGTTATTGATTGACTTAATGCCGATGCACTTGTTTCTGGACAACTATGATAAGCACTAATAAAGAATGCTGTTCTAAACAGAATTACACACAAAAAAAGATAGTTTCATGTTTGTTTCTGGAACAAGGATACTTACGCATCAGGACCAATTCTATAAAACACGCCATAGCCAGTGGAACACATAGGTGCTGTGCCACCGCATGTTGTTCTAAAGCCAAGACAACTTGTGCTTAAAATAAAATTACCACCTCCACCACTATAAAACGAAAAACAAACACTAAAGTAATGTAACACATAATAAAATTAAAATTTTTATACCTTTTCTTCCACGATGGATCATCATCGAGTGTAAATTTATATCCTTTTTCAGTGGCTAACATACTAAGACCAAATAAATGTCGATCACATCCTTCATTTAAAGATGCTTCTGTCATCAGTTGTCTATGGCGTTTAACGGCAATTAAAAATAGTTTTCGTTTCATACCATCCTACTAACAACAAGAGAAAACTAATTATATATTCTAACCACGAAAAAGCATACTTACCGTTACATTTTTCTCATCCACCATTGCTTTACACCACTGTATTACCTCTGATGTGCAAGTTCTACACGTTTCAGTTCGTCCCTTATAATAACGTCTTGTTGAGGCTGTTTCATAGGTTGGTGCCGCACGATGATGTAATTGATAATAACCTAACTGCAAACATAATTGAAAGTATGTATCGGGATGAACATTTATTTTTTTTGTAATATCCATTTTTGTACACAACGGCACAGTAGTGGTAATACAGTCATAATCATTTGCTTCTTTAAAAAATAGTTCACGACCACGTTCAATGGCATCATGAAGAATTTGATCTGTATAAAAGATTATTTCATAAGCATTAGTCTTAGGATTTGCGGCTGAATGTGTCTGTTGTTTATTCCATACGCCATTGAGAAATTTAGTTTGTTTGTGAACATTTTCATTGATTTGTAATGGTATGAGACCCTCGTAGACAGTATGCTAAAAAAACAATAATATAATAATTTGGGATCAAATCAAATAGAGATATGACACCTACATCACAGTTACTTCCAAAGACGCCATTTTGTGTTACGACAACTACTATTGATTTATCAAACCATCGCATAACGGGATCACCAAGCATGACAAGTTTGCACAACTAAATTGAGCAGATCGCATTAGACTGGAGACATGTAATGAAAAAGTATATATTTACATCAGTTAAATTGTCAACATTTTTATCTTCTAACGAGTAAATCATTAACGATTCTTCAATAAGATTTAATCCTAATTCATTACGAGAGTCGATTTCACAAAAATGTTCGCGTATCTGCAAAAAGATAAAAATAAATTTACAAAAACAACAACGAAAAAGTCGTACTAGTGCCCAATCGTCTCGTGGTAGCGCTGTTAATGCTCCTAGTCCCATAGCATTATTTGTTTGTTTTTCACTTAATTTTACAATTTCATGTAGTTGATATTCAATTTCAGGCGGTGTTAATATATTCTCATCATCAAATAAATCAAAAACGAAGAAGCGACGTTTACGAATGATGACAATATGTGTTGGACAACGTCCATCATTTTCTAAACGAAGAATATAAAATAAAGAAAATATTCTATAAAGAAAAAGAAATAATAGCACTGACGCGTTTTAAAACTACATTTAACTTCATCACAGTCCTTTTTCGGTATTCGACAAGTATTAAAAAAATGTTTGAATTGATACATTGTCAAATGATCATTGGTAGTGCCAACTGGATAATTTTCACTAGAAGAAGAATTAAATCAATAAGTTTCTACCCTACTGTAGACAAGTGCCTGAAAAAAGCGTGTAACATCGATCAACTGTGTTGTCTGATATATCGAAGTTAACGTTGTAACTACAAGTGAAACATTTAACATTTCCCTTATCTGCTAATAGTTTTTTGTTTTGAGAGAAATCAACGAGGTATAGACGATTAAAACAACGTAATAGAGAATACTTACTGTCGAATTGATTGAAAAATTTGACCATAAAAATGTAATTGTAATGCAACACGTTCAATTTGTGAATTATCTTTTGGTGGCCAAAAACTCCAGTCTGAATCATAACCCACCATATTCATCTTTGGAGCAAGTGGTTGACGCCATTTTAAATAAATTTCTTCATCCCACCATTTTGATAACTGAAAAACAAACGAGAGAATAAGTATTACTGTACATGTTTTCTAAGACTATGTCACTTGCCCAATTTCGTTCCTGGCGGGCTTTTTCCTGTAATTGTTTATCCAATACAAGACCGATACGTTTTCCAAAATGATCAACAATTGTTTTCGTTTTCAAATATTCTTGATCGTTCACTACGGGTCTGACTGAAAAGTAAAAAAACAAAAAACAAATTAATAATAAGTCTGATACAGTATGTGTAGGTGATAATAATTCACAAGCTATAAGCAAAGAGTAAAGAAGAATTATGAAAACGGTATTTGGCTATTCTCGAACAAGTTGTGTTCATTTCGATATGATTGAGAAAAAGTTAATTGTGATAAATTGAAAAGATTGAACTAAAGACACTACGATGACTGATTTCACAATCTGATTGTACCATTTGAGAAGTATAATCTTAAAAGTTTTTTGGTTTCAGACACATTTATTCAAAAGATGTATAGTTTCAAAAATAGCCTATACCTTTTACTATCCAAATACATGCAGATGTTTGATGGTAAATATTTGTGACTATTTGTCTCTATTACGTAAACAAGGGATGAATAGCTAATTTGTCTCTATGACTATGAACATATTGAAACATTTGTACCAGAGTACTGGTATCTATGAGTCGTTTCTTTCACATGAAGTTTTCTGTTTATTATTAGCGCATTTTTCTGATTTATGAACATTAGTTTGCAAACAGTGATATATATAATAACTTTGAGTTAGTATCAAATATGTTTCCGTTTGATCGATATGGTATAGTACACTTTGTACGTGTGGGTTTAGAAATTTTATTGATTATATTAATGTATGTTTTTTTTTAACTATATCATACAATAACTACTAGAATACATATTTGTCTTTGCTTTCTATTAGGTATATATTTGGTGGTTGCCATAGTGGTATGATATTTGGTTTTGATCCATTTACAGCATTATTATTTTCTATTTCTGTCATTGTTTGTGTATCAATGGATGTCTATCTGTTATTATTATCATTTTTTATTCCTTTAACACCAAAACGTAGTGCAGGATTTCACATTGTACTCTATAGTCTATTGGTGATGGTATTTATGTGTTTAGCTGTATTTTGTATAATCGGTTTTATTTATTGTCGAAATGGACGATTTATCAGACAATGTAAAACATCAACAGATTGTACCACGCTATGGACCGGTATTGTTCTTTCCTTCTTTCTCTCAGTTGCCTATGGTATCTCAGCTGGTTTATTATGTTGTACAAAACAAGAATATTCAGACGAACGATCCTAATTATAACTAGATTTATGTTAACGATTTATATTTTATTCAAAATAAAATTATTGCATCTCAACCTCACACGCTCACTTTTTTAGATATGTTACTACAATCAGAGAGCTAATTTGTACTAACTACAACTAAATAGACTCTTATAATTTGTAATTTTCAGGTCTCATGGTACCAGCGAACAATAAAGTTTTAAAGAAAAGCATTTATATTAATTATACATATGTCACAACTCAAAACAATATGTTTTTCGTATCCTTGAGCAAACTGTTTGATATGGATAATATGTTACCTGAATCTAAATAGCGATTCAATGTATGCTGCAATGTAGGCAGTGGTAATGATGGTAATGTATCATCATATTGAAATGTTCGCTCTGATTTTCCATCACTCAGCGCCATTATCTAAAATATAAAATATATTTTGATAAGAATTTGTTGATAAGATGCTCGATTGATTGTTGATTACAGTAATTTTTTTTGCTACTAAAGAAAATACTTGAAGAGGAAACTAAATATGACATTTTAGCCCAAATAAATGAAAATAAACATTTGTTTTTACAAAATATAAAAACAAGAGCAAATAAATGTTTGACGAACGTTGTTTACTTTTTAAATTTTTTCGTAAAATAGAAGCAACAAAGAGACACGAATCGGGATTCGTCTTCATCACAAATAAGTTTTCTATATTGGAAAATTAGAAGATTTAAGAAAGACAATAGAGTAGACTTTTTACTGAAATCACAGGCACGAACAATAAGAATGCAGCAAAATGTTTATTTATTGGAAAAAAAATCGAAGAAAAAGCCCGATAGTCAACCTGGAACTGTACAGAGTTGTAATCTATACTAATAGGAAGGGTATACGTGCATAGATTATAAAACAACAAGAAAACAAAATGTGTTTATTCTTTTCCTTTAGCATCTAAATACTTTGAGCCCGGGAAATCTTCATGTCCAATTAGATGATATGGAGCTCGATATCTTGCACCCGCATTCTTTTCAGTAACGGAAAGTACATAAAAGGTTGCTAATGAGATTGAAGCAATACCAGCAATTAACACTTGATTATAACGACGTTGAGTTTTAGCGTTTACTTCAGCCCAACTGCCCTGTGGTTTTGGTAACCAATCATAGGTTGACTTATTCTTCCACATTCTTTCGTATATAATTTGATTACGATCAACATGTTTATCATCATGTCCATGCCCATGTGCAGTATCAACTTCACCATAGCTTTTTGTACGACGACATAAAATTAATGGAACACTTTTCGAACACAAATTAGTCGCTTTCATGATATTTGAAAGCATTGCTGTTAACGACTATCTAAAAAAATTGACGAATAAGCGGGTAACAATGTGAAACAATCAAGACTCATTTACATTACAATTTGTGAACGGATGCTCAACTACTTGATTGCAAACCACTATATCACTGAGGAAGTCTACGTCACTAGCTTTCAAGATTAACTGTAATAGTTTTGTACAAAAAAAAGAAATCTCGAACTATTGTACAGGATTGTTTGGTGTGTCGGAAATGCAAAATTCGAGCAGATTTCTGTTTCGTTTATTTATATATGGTTAGATAGAGCTTGATGATCTGAACACGAATATGTGATTTTTAACTTTTTTGGACAAAGTATTAAGTGAGAAAAATTCGAAAAAAAACTCGAAAGGTATGAAATTTGAAACAGCGACTTAGTTTCAAGCCGTTTTAAGAATGATGCTTGATCAAGGTTGAAGCCAATGATCTATCCAGTATGGAAGTCTTGGACTTTCCCTGTAAAAAGTTTATGAACAATTCTGCAAACTTATCTAGCTTTTTTTGTGAAGAGATGAAGCAGACCTTTTTACTTCATTAGAACAACATATTAAACGAGCTTCACAAGTACCTACCGCTTTCTTTTTTTTTGCTTTATTGCTGAAAAAATTCATTTTTTCTAAATCAGGCGCGCAAAGATCGGAATTCTGCCCGTAATTCTCAAATTTCTTCATCAGGACGCAACTTTTAAACAATAAAAGTATCATATTCGGAGTGGCTTGGCTGTTGTGCACTTAACTTATGTTTAACTATTTTTATTCTGCCATTCAGATCAGACATTGAGTTCCATTCAGCTAGGCTTGCGATAAGCGATCAATCGTCTCTTCCAGCAGTCAGTCAAAGGCTTTTATAGCTTCGTTTAGTAATGAGAAATAAATGATCTTATACTGTTCAAGGCAAATGGTCAGGTGGTATAATATGGATGATGATGACTGATCTTATAACTTCTGTAGAAAGGTCAAGATAAGTGACCGATAAACGTCGGCGACACTTTTTGTTGCTACGTTATCATTGTAACAAAATAGTAGCTGAACCAATCAGAGTTTAGATTAATAGATAATTTTTCCTGTTTTCTTCGGCATGATAAAAGCGCTCAGTTTGTAATATCCTTCATGTTTTAGATTGTTGTGTTTGTCTCTGTATTTATGATTATGACTGTTTATTCCTACTTTTCCATAGAATCAATATAATTAGTGAAAAATGTTGTTTACAAGTGCTGAGCCTCGGCCAAGATGGAAAAAGGCATACATTCATACCACTTATAAGCCGTTCTTAATTAGGTTCTGGATTGAATGGAGGGTACTTCCACACAGATCCACCCACTTTATACACGACCTAAAGCCGGGAAAGTTTGACTATATGCAATCGATAGTCCTACTAAAGGTATGTAAAGACTCGTGTCGCCCTGAGGAAAGATTATTCCGAACACGGTTTTTCCTCGGAAATAAGTTCTGAATTGAAGCGTTTTTAGGGGTGCCGGAACAGCAAAATCCGACCTTACCTAATACTAACAAGCGCTCTCATATTGCTAACTGGAAAAAGCATACAAAGTTGCATATTTCTATCCGCAAATGAGATTTTCTCCTCTGACATTCGGAAAGAATTTTTGACTGAAGGACCTTATCTGCATTAGCAGATATCACTCGTTTTAGCGTGTTGGACGAGCTTAAAATCTAACAAAACTTAACTTTATTTATATTCATGTACAAGCGGCTTCCAAGTTTGTTCGTATGACGCAACAATGAAGTCTCTAGCGCTTTTTACTTCTTCATGGTAAGCGTAGCCCGGAGACCTACTTTGGCCAGTCTTGGCATCCTCCCCCAACAACTACACATCAGTTCTTCGAGATCTTGTTAGCCCGTACACTACTCGACTAGTGCTACAAAACGCGCAAAGTATTGACTTTGGCCAGGTAGTTTTTCTTGTGACGGTTTTCTAGAAATCCCCTCAAAATCCTATCATCTCCTTAAGGCCAGAAACGGGACAAAATACTAAATTAGCTATAAAATGACATACTGAATCCGAATTTCAGGTTAGTTTCGATTCAATATTTATGAGCAACTGAGCATTTTGAGGGGATTTCTAGAAAACCGCCACAAGAAAAACTACCTGCCCAAAGTCAATACCTTGCGCTTTTGTAGCACTAATCGAGTAGTGTGCGGGCTAACAAGATCTTGAAGAACTGATGTGTAGTTTTCGAGGGAGGAGGCCAAGACTGGCCAAAGTAGGTCTCCAGTCTGTTTCGCTCATGGCTTCTCCTCATTGATTTCTTTTCTTTTGGTTTTCAGTAGCATACATATACAACAAATAACTTGCTTGAAAAGTCGGATTCATGTGTTAATACCCAACAACATCCCCCTTTTGTTCTTCATATGCGCCAGATTCAGGTGAAGAATCCTTTTTTAATCTAATGAATATATATCTCATATAGAAAAGAGAAAACACCTAAAAATTGTTCCAAATATATCTCATATGTTTACATTTTTAGAATTTAACTACTCGAAATATTTGTATTATCAGATCAAGTTATTTTTTCGATATATATTTTAATTATTAAGTAATGAGTCTCAAAAGTTGAACATATTTTCAATAACGATCCTATGAGATAATTAATTGTCATGTGACACTTCACATACATTCAGTATGAATAATGTAGAGTGCTTTATTAAGTAGTCACGTGCTACTTATGAGTCTATACTTCTGTATATTGCATTTATAGTCTGAAATATTATTACCGATAGAATACATACTACTAGAGCACTGCAGTGTTCTAATCATATTTAAGGGATTTAAACGGTGTCTAATGTGTTTCTAAGATACATTTCACTCTGTCGGGTTTCCAATCTGCCCGTAGGGTAGTTGGCATCTAGTGTTTTTTTCGTTTTCAGTTCAATCTATGAACAGTGAGATATTTTATGATTTTTTTGTTGTCAAAAAAAGCACCGATGGTTAAACAGACCATCGTAATTCACAAATTTTTAGATGATTTTTTGCATAATTTTCATTACAACTGCAATTGCTTGTACATATTTTTTTTGTTTTTGAATGAATCAATAAATAATTTTATTCAGATATTTTTGCGTGCGGTATTCAGATTGTGTTATTTACAAGTACAAATATATTTCTACATTATGAAACAAGCTCTATTCTTAGATTTTGCTGTTAATTCAAGTCAAACAACTAATTACTGAAAATAAAGCTTAGTTTCTAGCAAAATGGACTAATTATGGACAAATGGATTCACAAAAATTGAATCATCGAAGGCCCCGATCTATTATAACAATGACTCAAGTCAAATAACAACAGAAAGAAGCTTAAATACAGAGATAGAAAACAAATAAACAGAACAAAAAAGAAAACAACATCACGAGATTCGTTTTTTTTAGAACGTTGGTGTACTGGGCTTGTTGTATTAGATTTTCTATCTAGTCGGTATCATGGCCCCATCTAGCAAGCAGCAACCCAGTTTTCAAGACTATACTCTGTGTTTCAGCTGCTTTATACTTCAGATCGTTGAATTATGTTTGTTAAAGATAAAACTCGTGTATTTTGTTATAGGGAACTACTCAAAACTTAAGGTATTCAATTGAAAGCATCATGAGGCAGAAGTATTATAACAATGGCCGCCGTAGTATGTTATTTGTCAGTCACTCGATTTATCGGTTACTTATCTTGACCCTGTAGAAAAAATGAAAGAATAAATTATATCAATAAAATAAAATAAACATCGAATTATGGATTGAATGGAACTAAAGAAAGTCAATCAGATGAAAATAATCATTAGATAATTTGATAAAGCCAGAGCGAGTGGTAGAAGAATTTTATACTTGTAAAAATCTTTTTTTCTGTGAAACTCTTCTGAACCTTTCTTTGCGCTGTGAATATTACAGTCTTTCACAGGTTTTTAAAATCTATCGCCATATCAACCCTCTTTTTCTGTCCTGTTCATCATCCACATTACTCTTCCTTACATTGTCATCATCCAAAATATGTTCGCATCTAACTCCCCTAAATGGTTTGTCTGCACGGACAATTCTGTCTTCGTTGTTTCATTTATCTATCATATTCCAGAGTCGGTTGGTTACATTTGTACTCCATCTTGGTTCAAAACAGCATTAATTAAATACCTTTCACAGTAATTTCTCAAAAAATTGTTTACACAACTCTATAATATATTACTTTTAAGTTTATTTATTTTATATCTGTCGATCTGTTCTCGCCAGTAGAACTTCTACAGTTCTACTGGCTCTTCATCACTTCTGATTTTTTGATAAATCTCAATTTTTGTGAACAGGTATCATCATCATTGGACAATTCTTCTGTTTGACTTTTTAGGTTTATATTTGAAACTTTCAATGTACAAAATAAGACTTATATTTTCCTCTGCTCTCTATCTGGGATCGTAGTGGCACGAGGGTCTCACGGGATGCTATGGGATGAGACGAAATTTTTCAAAGCATCCATGAGGTGGAACAGGATGAACTAGCCGTAAGATGGGACGGGATAAGATGAAAATGTTCAGACTATACGGGAGGAGACAAAATTCCATCCTGTGAGATTCCGGTAAAAATATTGATTCTTTGCGGTGAAACAAATTCACTCAATTCCCGCCATATCAGCAGGAGTGGAACGTCAGTCCAGTGGTGCGGGTAATGTAATCAACGAAAGAATACCAAGTTTAAATCCTGCACAAGTAGACAATATTCTATTTATAAGATCAGTAGAAAAGATGAATAGTTCAAAATGACAGATAAGATAGCCTTTTTTGTTTTCGTACTTTGTCACTATTTTTACTTTGTTCTGTTAGTGGGTAGTTTATTATTCTACTACGCAAGTCTTGTGGTGTATAAATGTAATATAATGTAATGCGAAAAAACAAATTTTGACAGTTTCATATGTCGAAACCAGAATAACAAACGAGCTCGATTGTCTGCAGCAGAAACTCTGTTTGACAAGAAATAGTTTCTCAGAAAAAAATTTAATGTGATTCCGTGGGAACTCATGGGACGAAAATTTTTGAACGTTCATCAGACGAGATGGGACGGGATGAAAATTTTTTGACTGCTTATATAGTACCGGACTGGCTAGGATGAAAGTGTTTTTCTGTAGGATAAAACTTTCGTCGCATCCCGTCCCACGATGACCTCTGCTCTCTAGTTGTATCCTCATAGCTTTTTACAGTTATCTGGTTTTCTTTTTTAGATTGACATCCTACTCTTTATCGTCGCGCCATCCGTACGATAAGTTCACGCCTTTTTTGACTTGTCTGGTTCTGTTCATTCATTCGTTTAATAGAAAAAATAAACAATCGATGCGTTGTTAGTTCAAACCTGTTAAAAAAGAAAAGATCACAAATGACGGCAAGAAGACGCTTATTACATGATTTAACCAAATTGCAAAATGAAGACTTACAAGGTAAATGCATTTGATACATAAAAAGAGAACTGAAGTATTATTTTTTCCTATAAATGTGAGCAGTGCACATCCGTATAATGAGAGCCAGCACAGATTCTTCGGATTCTGTTGCTTGAGACATAGTTACATATCTGTTATTTTGCGCATCGATCTCAAACTTTCTTCGACCATGATGAGGCTGCTGATGATAGTATCAGATTGATTTTCAAATAGAAATAAAATCTTTCTTTGTGGACTTTTGTACATGAAATAAAAATTTTAATGTCTTAGAGATTTTATTCCTTAGGCGAACTGACTGTGTTTCTTTTTTCTGTCAGGTATAAATGCAGCTCCAACTAAAGAAGATATGCGTATATGGAACGCTGTAATTATGGGACCAACTGATACATGTTTCGAGGATGGTACATTTACGTTACGTATGGAATTTTCAGGTAATAGTTTGAATTTTTATCTGTTTGTATTAATTAAAACTTTAATTTCAGATCAGTATCCACTGAAACCACCAAATGTGCGTTTTACATGTAAAATGTTTCATCCAAATGTTTATGTAAGTATATCTTTCAAGAAAACCCTTGTCAGCGTTGCTCTTGAGAGTGCAAACATGTGGAAACTTTCTTCCTGGATATATGTATAAATATGTAATCAGTACTCACTAGTCTATCTAACGTTTCCCTTAAACTAAGCCACAAGCAACGTTCAATTCTTACTCAAGTGCGAATACACTTTTATTTCGACAACTACTACTGTTGTCATTGATATGTTAGATGATGAGGCTGGCACTAACGAGAGAAGAAGATAAAACAGTCAGTTACAAATCACAAGACACTACGCTGTTCATGTCCTGTCCGTCCGATCGTCCATAAGGGGTAGAGGAAACACAAAGTGCAAAAACAGCCATTTGGCCCCCCACACCTCTTTAAACTTAAAACTCCATTTTTGCTTCTGACGACGGAAAAACGAAGTTTTTCTGCACAAACAATAAACCATCTAGTTAGCATTTTAAACGTTTTTAAGGCCGATGGCAGCATTTGTTTGGATATTTTACAACGTAATTGGAGTCCAACATATGATGTTATCTCAATATTGACATCAATACGTTCACTATTAAATGATCCAAATCCAAATAGTCCGGCAAATAATGAAGCAGCAAAATTATTTTTAGAAAATAAACGTTTGTATGAAACAAAAGTTAAAAAATTAATTGAAGAACAGATAATGAACGATCAAACATTATTTGATGATGAAGACGAAGAAAAAGTAGAAAAAAAACAACCTCCACCATCTGCCACGGGAACAGCAGCTACAGCGACATCAACAGCAAGTGAAGCAACAGCAACAAATGTGCAACAGCCTTCACCTTCGACAAGTAATGCCATTGCAGAGCCACAACAACAGCAAAATGAACAATAAATTCATTTTCAATTCTTCTTTTTCACTCAGCGCGTGTGATGTCTTAACACGATCGAGCCCGATCATCGAAAAACCTTGATTTCGACGTACATAGAGATTAGCGGCAGCGTGTGTGTGCGTTGGTTTAGTATTTAATCACAACAAATCTTTTTGTTTAAATAATATTATGTATACTGGCTTCTCTCTCTCTCTCTATGCGATGTTTTTTCTCTTTTTTTTATATTTTGACGAACAAGGTTGTAAAGTTATAGTTGCTGTTGTTGTTTTTTCTTCGGCCATCTATTCCCAAATCCATTTTTTTCATTTTTCATCGATTTATTTCTACCAAATATATCATTCTTCCTATACAGACGTAAACCTTTTACTTGGATGCTTTGCTTTCTTTACATAGCGAAGAATAAAAACATCATTTATTTTGGTAACGAACCTTCAGTTCGTTTTTAAAACGAAATTTTGCAATTTTGTTATGCTCACAAGCAAAAAAGAACAAAAGTATTTTTTCGAGAATAATATGTGAAGATATAGTCTTTGTTATGTATAATACAGTCGTCTAAAGCAACCTATGTACTCTGCGTTGTGATAAAAATGACGAAACAAAGAAGTACCTTTGTTGACAGATTTTAAATATAATACTAATGAGAATTAAAGCTCTTTAGCTTAGCGTTTATCGACAATGAAGTTTAGCAGTTCAATATTTCTGTTTTCGTTTAAAGAGAAAGTCTTGCGTCAATATTGGTCTCATATAATTAGTTTTGTGAAAGAGTGACATTTCCTACAGGTATTTTGATAAGTGTTTAAAACTATTAAGAAGAGAGTTTGTTCCTTCGTTTCTTTTACATTTTTTTGCACAGCAGAAAAAATTACACCTGTATGACTCTCTACAAATGTAAATGGAAAAATATTTGTGAGGTGATGACCCATGACTTTTTTCTTGCTAATGACAAACGTTTAGATAAATTCGTTTCTTTTTCATATTTGACTATCGCTCCAGACTTAGGAACATCGTATATGAGCAACAATAAAACAAAACAAGGGTGTTATAGTTGAGAAAGATTTTTGTGATAGAAGAACTAAACATGATTGTTCTTTCTGCTACTTTCCATTATTTGTTTTACTATGCTGAAGCGTTGTCAATCAACTTAATCAACGAGAAAACTTTGGGATGGGGGTGACAGATCTTTCTTTCTCATTCTGAGATTTTTAAATAATCTGATCTTTGTTCTGAAAGCTATTGAAGAGGCTTTTTTATCACTCTCACTACTGTTGCTGGGTTCGTAGAAAAATCTTTAGTTACTTGTTCTCTTTTTAGATAAAAGATTGTTCATTATATAAAACTTTATTTATTTTTGTTTATTATGCCACTATTCTAGTTCTCCGTTTTTAATGAATTTAAATAAATTTACTTATTTAATTAGTCAGCGACTTTCTTTTGATTATTCACGATCATGATACGATCTCAAAAACTACCTGTTCGTGGTAAAACGACGGGCGTAAGTCAACATCATCATAATGGGAGTCGTACAAATATAAATCCATCTAGTTTATCAATCATTCAACATCAAAATGTGTCGCTACCAACAGCTACGCCTGGATCCTCGTTAGCAGGAGCTACGACGATCACTACTTCTGGTAGTGGTGATACATCTTTTATTGGTAAAACGTTAACAATAAATCAATATCATGTTATCGTTGAAGATATTTTGGGTCAAGGTGGTTTCTCCTTTGTATTTCTTGTACGTTCATTAAATCAACCATCAGTACAACGTTATGCTCTAAAACGCATGTATGTGAATAATGCAGAAGGTTTAGATGTATGTAAACGTGAAATACAAATAATGAAAAATTTATCGTCACAAAAAAATATCGTCAAATATATTGATTCATCAGTTCAACGAATATCACCACCATCAACAAGTACGGCAATGATAGGAGCAAACAAGGAAGATGATGAAGAAGACGATACGATTTATGAGATACTTTTGTTAACAGAATATTGCTCGAGTGGAACGTTAACCCAACGAATGATTGAACAACGGACAACTAATGGGGGTACAGGTTATTTTAAAGAAAAAGAAATATTGAAGATATTTAGGTATGACCTATGTCCTCTTATCTTATTAACGTATAATCAAGTAATTTGTACGTGTATTTTAGTGATATATGTCAAGCTGTTAGTCATTGTCATTATCATCGACCAAAATCCATATTACATCGTGATTTGAAAATAGAAAATATTCTAATTGATAATAGTCTATCCTATGTATTATGTGATTTTGGATCAGCCATATTTATTGATGAACAACCGCAACACTCAAATTCAACAGCTTCTATTAAACAATTAGAAGAAAATATTCAACGTTATACAACGTTAGCCTATCGTTCACCGGAAATGATTGATTTATATAGTCAAATACCAATTACATTAAAATCAGACATATGGGCTATGGGATGTTTATTATACAAACTAATGTATTTTACACTTCCATTTGGTGATTCAATATTAGCTATTCAAAATGGAAATTTTACTATACCAGATGATATGGTACAATTATATAGTAAAGAATTAAATTTATTAGTTCGATATATGTTAGAAATTGATGTTAATAAAAGACCAGATATATATCAGGTAATACTGTAACATTCGAGGAAAGGAACATTGTGTAGACTATTTATTTTACATTTAGGTATCTTATATCACTTATAGATTGATGAATATGGATTGTCCGATAAATAATCGTTTCAATTCAAAAATATCTGATTTGCAATCGTTAACCATGCCATTAACAGAAAGCGAATCAAGATATCAACGCTCACTAGCAAATACCATTTCAAAAACCTCTATTATAGAAGATAACACGTCAACAGCTGGCACAGCAGTTAATCCACGAGAAAGACCAAGAGGAATCATTGCACAACCTGGTTCATTAAATTTTAATCAATTTCAAAAACAAAAAGTTGATCTTACACAACCATCCGCTATTCATTTACCACAGCAGCAAGAGTCAACGGTAATCAATCCAATTGTACCTCCTCAACGACCGATAAACAGTTCAACTGTTGATCTTATTCCTCCTCTTCCACCTCCCCAAATCTCTTCTCGTTCAGCGTTACAAGTGCAACAGCCAATAGATACTTCTCATCAACGTTCTGGATCAGCTGTCCAACTAATGTTTGACGATGATTTCTCACAAGTCATTTCACAAAATGCTCTACCACAAGTATTTCATACTTCAAGTTTAACAAATATAACCGATACAGCAAACATAACTAAGGTACCTGCACATGCCAGACCCAGTCCGCCAACTACTGTATCAGCTGCAACAAGTTCAAATTATACCCAAAATTTTGTCTCACTGTTTGACGAACGAAATGAAAATAATTTATTCCATCTACCACCTCCTCCTTCTACTACTGCAACAGGGATGGTTCCCTCTGTCTCCCCACTTTCTCATGGTTCTATAGAACAATCATCATCATCATCCGACCAACTATTTCATCGTGGTCATCGTCGAGCTTACAGTAATACTGTGAGTCCAACTCTTGTATCACAATCGACGAACAATTATTCTTTTCAAATGATGACCTCTTTTGTTGATCCAATAACATCGGAACAACAACACCAAGAACAACTGGATTTATTTTTTGCTAATAGACGTCATTCAACCGACAATTCAAATTATTTAAAACATGAATTACAACAAAAAACAGTAACAGCAAGAAGCGAAGAATTCACTGATGAAGATGAAGATGTACAATTTTCTTCTAAAAATTTATCAAAAAATAAATCAAGTTCAAACGCATCTATACAAAATGTCAAATCTTGTGAAAGTTTAGCGTTAGAAGAGGATGAAGTGACATTTGCCAAAAAATATACTGTCAATTCAAATATTCGACCAGATGATGAAGAACAATCAGCCTCATCGTCGAACTCCTCACTATCATCAAATTTAACATCTTCAAGTCCAACTAAAGTAAGTTGGACTTAATCTACCGTATAATTAGTCGAAATGTTAATTTTCTTTAGAATGATAAGAAGAAAAAATGTGATAAATCCAAACGACAAAATTTATCCGGATTAAATGAAAAACGATCGTCGGTTAAAAAGAAACAGTCACTACAATCTCTAACCAATATATCATCACCATCATTACAAAAAACATTATCGACAGAGGAGACTGAGCAAAAGACTCCCATAACAAATAAACGATTAATGATGCGTATTATTGGCCGTCGACCATATGATGAACAAAATTTATCTGCAGCACAAAACGAAAATAAAGACACTGAAAGCCATGATACTCGAGACGACGCGCAAAATAATGAAATTGCTTTCGATCAGTTAATTAACGAGGACTCGGATGATGATAATCATGGAAAAATGAACACAATGGCAACTAGTGGATTTACAACAAGATTAGCAACAAAAGGTGGTGGTGGTGCAATTCAACAGCAATATGAACATTTAAGTTCCGAAGATAGTACCAATAGCAGTGATAATGAACACCAACTACAGCAAAAAACAAGTAACTTCATATGTTTTTGGTATACGAATTAAGCATGCAACGGTTATTTTATCACGGCTCTTGAGGGCAGTAATTTTAAAAATCGAAGAAACTTTTTACAATCTTTTCGAGTCGACAGTTTTGTGCATAAATGTTTGTTCTACAAAATAAGACATTGCAGACTTTCTCACGATGGTTCGTCGATGAGATACAAAGTTTTTACCTGGAAACCTGAGCCTATTTTAACTGATTCTATTTTACAGAAAAAAATTCATATCTCATCGACGAACCATCATGAGAAAGTCTGCAATGTCTTATTTTGTAGAACAAACATTTATGCACAAAACTGTCGACTCGAAAAGATTTTAAAAAGTTTCTTCGATTTTTAAAACTACTGCTCCCAAGAGCCCCAATAAAATAACCGTTGCATGCCTAATACGAATAGAGTTTTATTGCACATTGCTTCAATCTGAAACATATGTCTGGTTTCTCTTACTATCAATAAATAGGTTCGGTTTTCTCCTTAAGTAGTTAAAAGCATTATTGTTCGTTTAGACGAACAAGTAACATGGCTCTAACTGCAAAAACAAAAGTAAAGTCACTGCTACTTACGCACGTCTTTTTTGATAAATTGATTTTTTGTTTCTCAGAATAAACGCTTCTCTGTGCATGATCTAAACGATTAGCAGAACGATGGAAATATATATATATCTATAAGCTTTGCTTTTTCTCGCGTCTCTCTCTTTCGCACACATATATACATATTAAATTATATAAATAAATATATATATGTGCTTTTCTCTCTTTTTTCTCTAGGCAGTTTGTCAACATCAACATTAGCTGAAAAAGTGTATAATTTATTTTCATCTTCAACAACAAATACAACTGTCACATCCACACCCTTGAAAGATTCGTCCAATTCTTCACGTTCATCAACAAAACCAACATCCGCCAAAGCAATCGGTCGTGTATTTGTTGATGCACCATTTTTATCAAAAAGAAAACAATCCATTGATTCAAATATAGGTAAATTTTTATCAGTTAATTCTCCAGTTGCACGTCCATTATTGTCCACTCAAATTCATTCCGATGCAACAACAACAGCGTCATTTGAAAATCCATTTTTACATGCACCGTTTCGTCATCACAATACTCAATATTATCCACCACAGTCACAACAACAGCAACAACAAATTGTTGGCAAAGTAGAAACACCACCAGTAAATTTTGACCCAAATGGAATATTGTTACGTACAAGGCGAAGTGCATTTGCACCATATCAAAAACAGAACGTAGATATAGAAAATGATTCTCAATTAGAACAGTCAGGTAATTGATTGATTTTAAAGATCTATTTTATCCAAAATTATCACGACCAGCAGATTGTAGTGTACATGCAGACGACTATTTAGAAAAAATGTTTGGTGGAGAAACACTGGAGAATGAGAGTGTATCATTGTAATAAGCTTTTTTCCTAACGTGTGAAACACGTTAAACTTTGTCAAAATGTGCAGCGATTTGTAGTCTCTCTATAATGCACTTTGTCTACACTCAAATATCGGTCTTTGAAAAAACTGATGATTTTCGCGCCATTTTGCTCTAGTTTTAATCAAATTTTACATCCATTCAAAAATCTGAACGTTATAACATCCTGGTTTTCTTTCAAATATTGAATATTTTGCATCTTTTTAGATGTTAGCAATATTCCCGACAATTCTTCGTTACATTATGAACTCAATGCAAAAACAAAATTAACGCATTCCGAATCTTATCCACCTGGTACAATTAAACAAGTAGAACATTCAACAAAAAATGATGTCTTTATTAATGCTCCATTTAATAACAAACTATTATCAAATAAAACACGTTCATCACAAAATCCTAAAACATCGTCATCGCCACTCTCCACATCATCATCAAATTCACATTTAATCGATCTCGATCAACAATTAATGAATATTGGTGATGATGGAAATACAAATGTGAGTTTTGTCGATAATAATAATATCTCAAAAACTTCTCTGCCAGTCCCATCGGGAGAGCCATCTCGTTTTTCCACGTTAGCTAAATTGACAGCACCTCAAACATTTGTTGCTGGTGTCCCTCCTCCACCCACACTCATAGCACCCTATTCATTGTCATCATTATCAAAAGAAAATAATAATATCAATGCAAATGTTGTCGGCATTGTTAACAATCAAATTGGTTCTACAAACAGTGTGCATGAACGACGTGTATATGGTTCGGCAGCAATAGCCACGAGTTTAGCTCAATTAGGTGATCTCAATGGAATACAAACAGCATTAAATATGGCTCTATCACCACCGAAACAACAATCACTCAATAGTACTGATATCTATTATTTTCATTCGAACAATAATAAAAATGATTCAGATACGGGAGCAGGTAATTCTTCAAGTGAAGAGTTGACATCGAGTTTACGTCGAAGGAAAAAGAAGTCATCATCTATTAAACAACAACAAATGACACCGAATATATCTGGAACAAATCAGACTATAGTATTGCCAACAGTGTCATCAAAAGGAAGTAGAAACAGTAAAACGGATCAATTCGCTTTCTCTAATTTAAGTTTTAATGCAAAAGATGATGCGGACGTATTGTTATAGACAATTGTCTGCTGTGGCAGAATCATCTACACTTTAATATTCATTTTGTTTGTAGTTTTTGCTTGAGTTATTAAGAAATGTCGCTTTTATGATGCACACAAAATAATCTTTGGTGTCTAACTTTGTACTGCAATGTGTTTTGCTTATTTGTTTTCACTGTTTTTTCAAACAAACGGCTAATGCAATATTCTCTTTCTATTTTCATACTAACTTTTTGTTTCTTTATATTTTGTCCGGTGATCGTTGAAGTTTGTTGTTACTTCTTTTGCATCTTTGGCATTTTGTGTAAAAAACAAATATCACGTCTTTGTTTTCTTCTATTGTTTTTTCTCACATGAGCACATATTTAAAATAAGCGTCTCTTTTGTACATAAAGCCATCAAAGCAGAACTATTATTTGCTTGCAAAATTATTAACTCTGGTCAGTGATCTAGCTCAGCAAATTCTATTGTAATGTGTGTGCAACGCCATAGTAGAAAGATTATTTTTTAGCAGTGATTTTAGTATGAGAATGTTTTGTTTTTCTTTATTGTTATACATCATTCCATGGCATTCCTGACTATCAAGATATACTTCTGCAGGCAAAAATGCATTTTTTTTTGTTTGTCAACTGGAAAAAAAATACAGTGTGTCTACTTTTTTTGTATAGAATAATATTACACGGTTTAATCGTACAACCTTTGTTTGTTTATTGTTCTTTTCGGGGTTGTTTTGTTTTTTATATATTTGTAATTTGTAACTAACTTTCTTTTTACCTGACGTATTTATTTCTATTTATTTTGCACGATATCATTCCTCTTAATTTGATTAATTCAGAATTTTTTTCTGTACTACTTCACGAAACACAAATGTTTATAAAAAGGAGTGGCACAGAAACATGTTGCATTGTCTCAATTGACATGATGAGATAAAACTTCATGTTTGATAAAAAGGAGAACTTTTATATGACATTTCACTACCTGAAGCCAATAACAATAACGCTATATGTTTTGATCAATTGTGTCTGACGATATTCAAGAGAATATATGTTATACTTTTTTTTCGAATATGCGTTTCTTTGGCAGGCACATGATAATATATTTCAAATAGACTGTACTCTTTGCGTGTGCATTATTGTTGATCTTGTTTTATGTCGTTCGAAAAATGTAAGTAATTAATCTCCTCTCTTTATGAATATCAACCTTGTCTGTCTTGCTATACCAGAAAACAGTAAATAAATTTTTATGGTTGCCACTGTACAACAATGACAATAGTCCTGTGGAGTGGACACGCTGAGAAAACTGTTTTTGTGACCTCAGCTGTGCCCTTTTTACGAAAATCCAGTTTTCTGCCTATGTGTATGTAGAATTAAAACACTTTTAACTGATTGATTTCTGATTTAAAATCAATAAAATTTTCAGAAAATACCCAAGACGATTCGTAGATTATGGATCAAGTGGACAAGGTTGGGTTTGAACCATAGATTGGCTAGTTTTCTAGAGACCTTCTCAAAAAGCTCAAGAACGAAGAATTGTTCAAAACTAATTTTTTCCACTTGATCCATAATCTACGAATCGTCTTGAGTATTTTCTGAAAATTTTATTAATTTCGGATCAGAAACCAATGAGTTATGAGTGTTTTAATATGTGGAAAAATTCGGAACTTTCAGTTCTACAAACTACAAAAACAAACTATAAGAACATTAGGAAATATAGGAAGTATTATAATAGTAAGCGTAGTGAGCGTGTAAAATTCCCGATGAATCCATAACTTGCAATACAAGGTATATACTTAGGTTTATCAGGAATGTGTCGGATCATCGTTTCCAAGTCACTTCCAGCACACTCTTTTCAAGTGCGGTATTGCTCTTTAAAAGCTTACTCTCACCTCCACGTTCGTGGCTACGTTCACATGTTGAAATGTTGTACAAAAATTGTTGACATGTGCGATAAGCTGATTTCTAACCCACTATCTTTCTATGCTTTCTCACACGCACTTTCAGCTATCAGAGTTTTCCGATTGCTATGCCTCACATGCTACCTATTAATTTTGGTAACGTCCCTAATGTTCCAATAGTTCCTATATTTTCTGATGTTCGTATAGTTTGTTTTTGTATTTTGCAGAATTCAAACTTCATAATTTTTCCAAACTTTTCGACCGCAGAATTTCATTTGACTCTCATAGTGATGAAGGAAAACGGTTAAACACAGTTTTTAATTTTTTCCTAAATGTCTAATCAAAATATGTTGTTCTTAAATTAGACATCTGCGTATTCCTAGGAAAAACACATGCCCATGGATATCCATGCTCAGTGTGCATTCACGCTGACATTTAGCTAATAGTCGAAAATGAGGTCTTTATTAAGTTCATCAGGTGTAAATACTGGTGATATGAGCTATTTGCTGCCATAAAAATTTAAAATTAAAACATGCCATGAAAAAATCCATCATCTGAAAAATTGCTCTATAAAGGTCAGTTTAATGAGTTCCTCTTTTTTCACTGTATTATAATACATCTAACTTTGTCAAAATATTCATGTTTATGTAGTATATGTATGGTGAATACTCCTTTTTTGTCTGAGCTGTCATAT